GTTTGTTTCTAACAGAATCGGATATCAAAAGTGCTTCGGTAATTACTCACACATTTTCATCAGCTCAAGAAGTTATACTCAAACATAGACATGTATACAGCGAGAAATCGAAACTGTTCGCGATTTGAACGTCCTTCTAAAAAACCACGGGCCACTGGGCAGATTTTGCTCTTCTCCTTGGCATTGTAGCTGTTCATCAAGATGACGACAAGTTCGGATCAATCATGGCTTGTTATATATATATATATATATATATATATATATATATATATATATATATATATATATAACATGGTGCTTCCTTTGTTTTCATTCTGGCTTGTCCACGAGCAAGTGACGTATCTCTGTAAATCAATGTAATTAATTCGGCTGTCCTAGGTACCCTTTCCTAAGAGTGCCCAATAAGTGGTACGGTACGGTTCGCTTTTAGGTACCTTTCGACAGTGAAAACGGCCATACCACACCACTCAGTGGAAACGGGCCATATCTGACCACTTTTTGGGTACCCTTTGCAGAGTGTACCTAGCACAGCAAAAGGGTGCCAAAAGGCGAAGCAAGATGTGCTGAACACTATTGGTTTACAGAGATTAATTCGCAAATGCAACTAGCCAGGAAAATGAAAACAATGTAAGCGACATTTTAAAATACACAGCTGAGACATTAAACCGTGATAATATATACATATAATAACAAGCCATGGTCGACACGAGCTCAAATAAACCTTGTTGTCGTCTTGATGAACTTCTACAAAAACAAGAAGAAGAGCAGAATCTAGCTTGTTCCCCGTAGTTTTTTACAGGGCTGTCTAAAGTGCGATCGGTTTCGCTTTCTTGCTTGCGTCTATATTTGAAATAGCAAACTTCTTGAGCTGATGATAACGTGCGTATGACTATTGAAGCTCTTCTGAGATCCAATCCTTTCAGAAACAGACAAACGCGAGAGTGAAGCCCAAAAAAAAAAACATGCCATGTTTAACTATTATCATCAGCTTTTGGGCTATTATGAACTCAGAATGACGGAATTACTTTCTAACAGAGGCTACATGTGATGCTGAAGATTAAAGACACAGATGACAGGTTTGCTCTGACTGTAGTCTATATGTTGCGAGTTGTTTTTGAACCTAAATAAGGACTAGATGTACGCTGTTTGTAGTTTTTCTTTGGTTGATAACACATCGGAGACTGTAAGGGTCTGTATGTGTTCATATATGTTGCATATATTTATTTATTTTATATAATTGCAGACGTTACAGTAGGCTATTTCTGACTTTAATCGATCTGCAGCTATAATCAAATATTGTTCATTGAAAAGTAAGTACATGAACATTTATGCACAAGTATTTATGTGTTTAAAGCATCAGTTTTTTGAAAAGTGTCTCTCATACCATATGTGAACGACCCATACAGCTGTAGACATTTCCTAGAGCCAGAATGACATTGACTGAAACTTTCTGTCGTACACCACGGCACGCCCACAAACAGCGTACAATTGGTACCCTTCTAGCAGTGGAAACGCAAGCCTGATAAAGGTGACCAGTATGCATATGCATTACCATAATGTATCATTTTTATGAACCAGAACAGAGGTGGGTAACGAGTTACATATACTTCATTACATTTACTTGAGTAAATTGTTGGGTAATGTGTACTATTTAAGTACATTTAAAAATGTGTACTTTTACTCTTAAGTAAATTACTAGAAAAAAATCATCACTCTTATTTCGCTAAATTTGGCAGCGTTAATAATAAATATGATTTACATGACTTGTTTGCAAATATCGCAAGGCGCCGTAT